ACCCTAGCAGATCGATCGGGCTCGAAAGATGGTGACAAAGATGGGGTCCAGGATTTTGGTCGTGATTCCTTCAGGTGTTTCATTTTCGCTCGCGCCGTCGGATCTCAGGGGGGGAGGAAGGGGGAGGAGGGGGGGGGAAGAGGAGGGGGAGGAAGAGGAGGAGGAGGAGGAGAAGGAGGAGAAGGAGGGGGAGGACCTCCTGATCCTCCCTTCTCCCTCCCACCCCCCCAGGGATTGGGGACATGGTTACCTTGCCCCCTGGGGGTTTCTCCGCCCGTCTTGCCTGTCTTCCCGTTTACTGTTCCCGGACAGGGCATAGGCCCAGAGTTCTATTTCAGGGGTTTACCCCTGGAATCGACTTGAGGTGGGCCGGCAACTTTCTCTTGCGATACATAACAAAGAAAGGGTGGGCCGGCGAATTAAGATTTGAGATGAGAATGTCCCGAGCGAAACGCTTGTTTGCAGAAATTATTGAGAATGTCTCTGGCGACACATGTGTCTTGTGTGCATAGATTGTTCTCTCCTGGGGACCAGAATGCAGAGAATCTCTCAAGTGAGATGCTTGTTTTCACGTGCCCAGGTCTTGAGGATGTCTCAAGCGAGATGCTTGGTTTCACGCGTCCAGGTTGCCCAGGCAGATGGCTAGCACGAGGATTTGTTGACGATGTCTCGAGCGAGACGCTTGTTTTCACGCGTCCAGGTCGCCCAGGCGGATGTCAGCATGAGGATTTGTTGAGGAAATCTCAGGCGACATGCTTTTTTGCACGTGTCCAGGTTGCCCAGGCGGATGTCTAGCATGAGGATGTGTTGAGAATGTCGTGAGCGAGGCGCTTGTTCTCACGTGTCCAGGTCGCCCAGGCGGATCTCTAACATGAAGATGTGTTGAGGATGTCTCGAGCGAGACGTTTGTTTTCACGTGTCCAGGTCACCCAGGCGGATCTAGCATCGTTTTGAGAATGTCTCGAGCGAAACGCTTGTTTTCACGTGCCCAGGTCACCCAGGCGGACGTCTAATAGGAAGATGGTTTGAGGATATCTCGAGCGAACCACTTGTTTTCACATGTCTAGTTCGCCCAGGCGGATGTCTAGTATCATAATGTGTTGATGATGTGTTGAGCGAAACGTTTGTTTCCACGCGTCCAGGTCGCCCATCCGGATGTCTAGCATGAGGATTTGGGCAGGATGTCTAAAGCGAAACGCTTGTCCCCAGCACGTTCCGTAGCGCGTCCCCTTGGCACGTCCCGCGGTGCGTCCCCATGGCACGTCCCCTGGCACGTCGCCTGGCGCGTCCCTTGGGACGGTCCGCGGCGCGTCCTCCTGGCATGTCCCCTGTCAAACAGCTCTGGGGCAGCAACTGCTTGCTCAGGCAGATCGAGCTTCAGATCCAGATCAGTTCGTCAGGCCCCGGATGCAAAGGAGGACTCGATCCACAACGCCATAGAGCACAATCGCGGCATGGCACATCGCAGTTCAGCACGGCGCAGCACAGCACAGCCCGTGGCACGGCACATCATGATCGATACGCTCAGCATTGCAATTGCTCGTCGCCCAATCAGGTGTCTTGAAACCGCTGCCATGCCGCACATTTCTATATTCCCTACCAGGTTCGTGGGTCGATCCTGTTGAGCCTCCTGGCGGGGCCCTCGCCACCACAGCTGGATTCGTCTCGAAATTCGGGTCAGAGCGCACAACGGGAGTTGTCCGGTGAGCACTGGTAGCAGTGTTTATTCTTATTTCTCCCAAATGAGGAGGACAGGGAAAAAGGTGGAGGTGGAAGAGGTGCAGAGACAGGAGACCTGTGGGGAAGATGAGGTGAAGGACCCCGTCCTCCTCCCTCATCCCCCTCGTGCTGCTCCTCCTCCGTTCTCCACCTCCGCCCGAAGCAGACCCAATGCAGCTCTGGGCGGTTTGGCCGTTTTTAACATGTACGCAATGGCGGCTTCGTGGCTTTTCCAAAGGATTCCGATTGTGAGGCTTTCGAATTGAATTCGTTTGTGGCGCCTTCCAAATGACTCATGTTGTGAGGTGTTCCAATAGAATTCCTTTGTGGTGGTTCCCGGAGGATTCCTGCTGTGAGGCTTTCCCATAAAATCCCTTTGTGGCGCTTTCCAAAGGATTCCTGTTGTGAGGCTTTCCAGTAGAATCCCTTCGTGGTGCTTTCCAGAGGATCCCTGCTGTGAGTCTTTCCTATAGAACCCCTTTGTGACAGGATTCCTGCTGTGAGGCTTTCCGATGGAATCCCTTTGTGGCGCTTTCCAAAGGATTCCGATTGTGAGGCTTTCCAGCAGAATCTGTTTGTGGCGCTTTCCCAGGGATTTCTGTTGTGAGGCTTTCCAATGGAATCCTGATGTGGCGCTTTCCAAGGGATTCCGATTGTGAGGCTTTCCAATTGTGGCGCTGTCCGAAGGATTCCTGCTATGAGGTTTTCCAATGGGGTCCCTTTGTGGCGCCTTCCAACGCATTCCGATTGTGAGGCTTTCCTTTCGAATCCCTTTGAGGCGCTTTCCAAGAAATTTCTGTTGTGAGGCTTTCGAATGGAATCCTTTTGTGGCGCTGTCCAAAGGATTCCTGCTGTGAGGCTTTCAATGGGATCCCTTTGTGGCGCTTTCCAAAGGATTCCGATTGTGAGGTTTTCCAATCGAAGTTCGTTTGTGGCGCTTTCCAAGGGATTTCTGCTGTGAGGCTTTCCAATGAAATCCTTTTGTGGCGCTTTCCAAAAGATTCCGATTGTGAGGGGTTCCAATAGAATTTGTTGTTGTGCTTTCCAAACGATTCCTGTTGTGAGGCTTTCCCATAGAGTCCCTTGGTGGTGCTTTCCGGAGGATCCCTGCTGTGAGGTTTTCCAATCGAATCCGTTTCTCGCGCTTTCCAGAAGATTCCGGTCATGACGCTTCACAATCCAATCCCCTCTTGTGTTTTCCACTGGATTCCTGCTGTGAGGTTTTCCCATCCAATTCCTATGTGGCGTTTTCCAGAAGATTCCCGCTGTGAGGCTTTCCAAGGGAGTCCTGTTGTCAGGCTTTCCAGCGGAATCCCTATGTGGCGCTGCCCAAAGGATTCCGACTGTGAGGTTTTTCATGGAATCTCTTTGTGGCGCTTTCCAAGGGATTCCTGTTGTCAGGCTTTCCAGTAGAATCCCTATGTGGCGTTCTCCAAAGGATTCCGATTGTGAGTCTTTCCAATGGAATCCTTTTTTGGTGCTTTCCGGGGGATTCCTGCCGTGATGCTTCCCACTAGAATCTTGTTGTGGCGCTGTCCAAGGGGTTTCTGTTGTGACGCTTTCCGATGCAATCCGTCTGTGGTGGTTTCCAAGAGATTCCTGCTGTCAGGCTTTCCAGTTGAATTCCATTGTGGCGCTGTCCAAAGGATTTCTGTTGTGAGGCTTTCCAATCGATTCCCTCGTTGTGCTATTCCCTCGTCTGGTCTGTCCTCCTCCCACCTCTCTCCTCAGCCCACCTCCTGCTCCTTTTCCTCCGCCCATCATTCCCCTTCCTTATTACTTATCCTCCTCTCCCCTCTTTTAGCTCCCTTTGTTTTCCCTCCTCCCTCGCCGTCCCCGCTCTCATCTCCCCACCTGTTTTACCCCTCCCAGTGCTCCTTCCACTCCCGAGCCCTTTTCCTAGTTGTGCGTCCGCATGTTTTTCATTCGTTTACGATTGCCACATCAAGACGCGCTTGCGCTGAATGGTTTCCATTGACTGTCTGGCTCCCAGGTCCCAGTTTAGTACCTAGCTGCATGCTGCAAGCCCCGCCACCTTGCTAGCGCAGCATCGTTGACTCTGCCATGCTCTCGCGAACAACCTCGGAAGAACCGTCTTTGTGCCGTGTAGGAAGTAGCGCCACGCTGCTGCTGCTGCTGCTGCTGCATGGCAGTATGGCCTAGCTGCATCGTTGTATGATTTTTGCCGTTTCACTTTGGGGCCTTTGGAGGGTCTCGCCGCTCCTGGTGGAGGACCTCTTGGCCGCCCATCGCGGGTAGTGGGGCAGTCTAGGGCGTTATGTGATTACTGAGCTCTCCCGAAGATGCCTGGCCCTCTCGGGGCTGCCCTGCTGGGCCACACGAACATGACCTTGAGGTCAAGGTTTCCCTTTTTGTCGCTACTCGAGTGGCCGTGGGCTCATCGGGTACTCATTGTGTCAGCTTCGAGGCGATCGGGCTTACCGGGGATGGTGGCGTCGCATCCAAGGGCATTGCTAAGCTTACACATTGTTCATTCCTAAGTATCCGAATGTTCTTTGATTTTCTCTGGGGGCCAAGATCCTCTCATTTCTAATTGTGCTATCCTGGGCCTCTTCCTGGCCACTAGGGGGCCAGGAACAATTCGAAACGAGCACCATTAGAATTGAGCACGATTAGAACTAAACGACGTGTATGCTGAATGGTCCGTCACCGATGCTCTTCAGTCTGGGGAGCGTTGAGGATCTCTCTGGCCTTCGCTGTCAACGTCCCAAGGACCGCGACCTCTCGGGAACACCTCGTAATCTCTTGGAGGGCTTCTGTGCCCGATCCGGGGCACGTTCTGGAGTGCCACGGATGGGTGAGGACAAGTCGTTTGCGCCGATAGCACAGAAATATCCAACAATAGCACAGAAATAGTCTGGGGACGATGTGTTTGTCTTTTTTGTTGTTGACCAGTTGGGAGTATCTTTCTGATCAATTTTTATTTCCCGTTCAAAATCCGACTGTAGGGGGACATGTCCGACGTAAAGTTACTCCCTGGACCATTTGGGGTGCGCGGGGAGTTCGAGGCGGATCGAGCCCCCACAGGGGAAGCGTTTCGCTATGTCGTGCTGCTCCATCTTCGTGGAGGATCGGTGGCACGAGCTGTTTCTTCTTCTTCTTCTTCTTCCTCTTTTTCTTCTGCTTCTTCTTCTTCTTCTCCTCCTTCTCCTTCTTGTTCCTCGTGGAGGAAATCGGTGCCATGAGCTGCAGAGGCGAGGGGAGTCCGGAGGGCGCGGAGGCGCACGGAGGTCAAGTATGGGAGGCCGCCTCGCGCCCAGGCTCGTTCCGCGAGGATCCGCTCGGCGTCCCTCGTGGGCCTTACGACCCCGGCGACCTCCTGTGCCGCCGCGGCGAGCAGAAGGAGGGCTGGTGCGTGCAGTGGCTCCCGCCGGGGAGCGGAGGGATAGTTAGCCCCTTGGAGTTGGTTCCGATGTGAGGACGGTGATGCTGGCGACAATGGGGTTGGTGGTGAGGATGTGGGAAGGGGTGATGACGAGGGTCGTGATATTTTTCAGTGAAGATCATGGGAAGGAGTGTCATGATGATGACGATGATGATGGTGGTGGTGGTAATGATGATGAGGAGGAGGAGGAGGAAGAGGAGGAGGGGAAGAGAGGAGGATGAAGAGGAGGAGGTGGAAGGGGCTCCGTGCTCTTGCGGTCGGAAGGCCCTGCTCTGTCGGTCTGGGATTAGCATGGTCGTTCGAGGTCAGGGCGGTCGACTGGGCACTCGGTACAATTGACTCGTTGGACCGCGGGCCTTTTTGGGTGTGGATGGGGCTCGTGTTTCTTCAAATCCATCCTAATCTAGGTTCTCTCAGGTTCCTCGATCATCTAGGCGTAAGACCAGACGAGGGCCGAGGGCCTCGCCCATCATCTAGTGGCTTTTGTGGCAAGCGGATTGCCAGCGTGAACCCCAATCAGAAGGCATTCCCGAGTTAGAGACCTTGTAGTGCAGCATGCGCGCACGCGCGTGTGTGTGTGTGTGTACTGGATCACGCCATAGTCCCCCACTAGATGGCGCCAGGGGCCGAGCCATACATCCCAACACATTGGTCCATTATAGGGCATCATACCCAGCCACCCCCTCCATTGGCCACCAGCGCGAGTTCAGCGCCACAACGGCAGGCTGAGATTGCGCGCCCGTGGTGCCGTACGGACACAGGTGCCGCGACGCACTCCTCCTTCCCCATCTCCACCCCCCTCCCTCCCCCCTCCTCCCTCCTGTTCCCTCCTCCCCGCTCATCTTCTGTCCTCCCCCTCCCCCTCACTCGCCTCTCACTTCCCCTCCCTGTCTCCTTGACAGGCTCAGCTGCATCAAGCAGAAGGCGGCCCCGCAGGGGGACCCGGCGTCGGTGATGACGGCGTGGGGGCCCGCCGACTGCCGGGAGTACTGCGGCACGTGGCCGGTCACGAGCGGCATGTGATGAGCGCGCGCCTCCTCCTCCTCCTCCTCCTCCTCCCCCTTCGCCCCATCCAACTTATGGTGGTGGTGGTGGAAAACGCGCTCATCAGGCATGGAGGGCAACTCTAGCAGAGGCGCGGGCAACGCCAGCAGAGCCGCATCTTTCTTGTCGCTCCGTGCCAGCAGCAGGGACGACTGCCTGGAGTCGTGCGACAATTTCCAGCACAGCCTCTCTTCTTGCGTGGCGACCGTCCTCTTCGAGCCCGGCAAGGTCGTCGCCATGGGCATGCCCGACGGGGCGGCGGCGAAGAAGAGCGCGTCGCAGATCTGCACCAGCAGGAACACGTCCTGCATGCCGGACCTCCCGTTCGAGCACCAGAAGTGCATCTCGGCCAGGGCCGGCAGGGTGCTTGGTAAGACCATGTCCAAGGATCTCAGTGGGCCCTGGAAACGACAGGGCCGTTTTTGTTACCGGTTCCGTTTTGCCGTTTTTCTGCCGGTTCCGACGCCGTTTTTTCACCGGTTCCGTCGCCGTTGTTTGACCGGTTCCGGCTCGGGTTCCAATCCTGGACCCATTTTTTGGCCATTTCCGGTCGCCGTTTTGTTGCCGTTTCTTTTTTCGAGGGACATTTTTGTCGGGTGAGCGTAAGACCCGGGTTTGCCAGGACTCGGGTTCGCCATCGTTTTTTGACGACCGCGCCTCGGATTTTGACGAGGAGGAGTTTCGTGGGATGTCTGCAGCGGGAGGCCTCGTCAAAATGCAGGCTCGGCCTCGTCATTTTTTTGACGACCTCGTCGGGGATTTCCGAGTCCCCTGTACCCAGGTCTTACGTCCCCCTGATTTTGCTGGAAACGGTGAAATTATGGGCCCTGCCGTTTCCCGGGCCCACAAAGCCAAGGATATTTTCAAGAGGGGCAGAAGTGTATAAGCATGCGCGGTCGGAGCTCTGGGCGGGCCTCGGGGAGCTTATGCTTGCGCAGCTCCTTGTTGTAAGGTCAAGTCGGGCATGTTCCTCTGCAGGAGGAATGTGCACAAATGGTACAACCATAGTTTTTGGGACGATTCTTCGATTATTTGTTTGACAGCTTCTGAGTATGTCTTGACTCTTTTTCATGTGTCGCCCAAAATCCGCCTGTCGGGGGACATGCCCGACCTAACTGTGAGGAGACCGAGATGGCATGCGAGCGGGTCAAGATGGACATGGAGGACTGCAAGGACTGCCCGCAGCTCTCGCCCGAGTACACCAGCCACTACCATTCGTTCGTGGGTGGATGCATGGACCAGCTGAACGCATACTGGGCCGCCACTCACCCGAACGTGGGTGGGGCCCGAACAATCAGGACTAACACTAGTTGGCTCGAAGGAGGTGGAGGGGGAGAAGGATGACGATGCTGATGATAAGTGAGAATTCATGGATGATGGATGATGCTGGTGATGATGACGATTGTGATGCCGATGGCGATGACGATGAGAAAGATGATGGTGGTGAGAATGGTGCTGATGATGCGGACGACCATGATGATACTTATGCTGATGATGATGCTGATGATGCTGATGATGAGGTTGTTGTTGTTGTTGATGATGATGATGATGGTGATGCTGGTGCTGCTGGTGATGATGATGATGATGATGATGATGATTCAGGTGATGATGGTGGTGATGGTGATGGTGATGGTGATGATGATGGTGGTCATGGCGATGATGATGATGAGGAGGAGGCGTCTGGCGAGTTTGGTAGGACTAGCGCGAAAAGCTATGATCACAACGTGTACTGGTGAGTCAAGCGGGAAGTTGGAACCGTTTTCCCCATCCTGAAGCAATGCACGAAGTTCAAACTTTTGTCTACTGCATCCGAAGAACTAAAGCGTAGAGCCTCAGTTTGAACATAGATCGCCCTCCATCTGTGCATCTGTTACATATTGACCTTGTGGTCGTTGATTTCGGGGAAGCGCGAATGCGACAATCACATATTTACAAGGAGTCGCCATCCATCATCGTCGCTGTTGCAAGCAATCAAGACGTGTTCGCGGCGCGGATGCAATAACCCCCCATGCTGAGAAGCAGCCGCCCTTGACCCTTGGAACGGCTACACGTTTATGAGACGAAATGTTTGCGACACGTCCTTCCCCTCATCATCATCGCCATCACCATCGGGGGTCATCACCCCCCGATCATCAACGTTGGCCGCCGCGGGGGCAGAATCATTGTTTCCATATTGGTGGGGGTCCCATTCCGATAGTAAGCCCGCGACTTACATGTCCCCATTATCGGCGGGTTGTTGTGGAAAGTGCCTTACGGGTTACCTTGTGGGGCTGTTTGTGCGCAGCCCGAGGCCCAACCCGAATGACACAATGAAGACGAAACCTTCTGAGGTCAGCGTCCTTGCATCTGGGGTAATCATTCGCGCGGTTTTGCTCGATACTTCTGCAGAACACACACACACGCACCTTATCCTTCATGTCTTGCGCCTCTCCACTTAGGTCCGCTCCCAAAAGGTCTGTGGTTCTTTCATTCCCCAATCAGTGCTTGCACTGAAGGGTTCCTAGCGGAAATTGAAAGATTTGGCCAAAGTGTCCCGCCGACTTTGGTGCCTTACGGGTTACCTTGTGGGGCTGTTTGTGCGCAGCCCGAGGCCCAACCCGAATGACACAATGAAGACGAAACCTTCTGAGGTCAGCGTCCTTGCATCTGGGGTAATCATTCGCGCGGTTTTGCTCGATACTTCTGCAGAACACACACACACACACCCCTTATCCTTCATGTCTTGCGCCTCTCCACTTAGGTCCGCTCCCAAAAGGTCTGTGGTTCTTTCATTCCCCAATCAGTGCTTGCTCTGAAGGGTTCCTAGCGGAAATTGAAAGATTTGGCCAAAGTGTCCCGCCGACTTTGGTGGCCGGCTGGGTTGTTCCCGGTTCTGGGTGCCGCAGTTCTTGGCTCCGGGCTGACTTCGATAGATTCCGGGTTCCGGGGTTCCCGGTCGATCTCCTTATCGATCAAACCACCCATTGATGGGGCTTGTTTTCTCTGGTGTAAACTGCCAGCCAAGGAGGATGTGCGCAGCCCGAGGCCTTGCCACTTGGGCCCCGCTCGCCCGCTCGCCCCCCCTGCTCCGCCGCAGGCGGGCCCGCACGCGGCGATCCCGGGCGCCAGCGGCTGCACCGTCCACGCGTGACGCGGCACGGGCCCGCCTCTCGTGGACTGTGTGCCTCGGGGGGCCCGAGAGGGACTGTGCCGCCTCCTCCTCGAGTGCCCAGTCGACCGCCCGGACCTCGAAAACGACCATGCTAGTCCCAGGCAGCAGTGCAGGGCCTTCCGACCGACAGAGTACGGCGCTCATTCCACCACCTCCTCCTCCTCCTCCTCCTCATCCTCCTCCGCCTCCCCCTCCTCCCCCTCCCTCTCCTCCTCCTCCTCCTCCTCCCCCTCCTCCTCCTCGTCCTCCTCGTCCTCCCCGTCCTCCCCCTCCTCTCCCTCCTCCTCAGCGGGGCCTCCCAGCAACGCGGCGGCCGCCCCTCCCTCTCCTCCCCGTCCTCCCCCTCCCTCTCCTCCTCCTCCCCCTCCGTCCTCCTGCTCCTCCTCCTCCTCCTCCTCCTCCTCCTCCTCCTCCTCCTCCTCCTCCTCCTCAGCGGGGCCTCCCAGGAACGCGGCGGCCGCCCCAGGCGCAGGCTGCGCCCCGGGCGCGCCGCGCGCACCTCTCGGCTGGGGAGGCGCTTCGACCCCGAGGGGTCGCCTGGAGGATCACACAGTGGGTGCCCATGCCAAGAAACACCGGCCGCAGACACCGCGGGAGGAGGCACGCCCACAGGGGAACGAAGATTGACATACCTATACGACCGCCCTGCGGGGGGGGGGGGCATTGAGATCAAATGCCCACCCTGACTGACCTCCAGCCTGTCACCTTGCTCTCATCTCTCTCTCTCTCTCTGTCTCTCTCTCTCTCTCTCTGTCGTTCTCTCTCTCTCTCTCGCCCTCTCTCTCTCTCTCTCCCTCTCTATCAGAGTCTCCCTCCACCACAAGGATGATCGCGATGGCGATGAGATCCCACGATCTACCTATCGCAGATTGCCGCGATCGCTCGAGCCTCGCAGTCTGCCGCGATCGCGCCCAGGCGCCGGCAAAAATGAATTGATGGATTGGAATGGGCGGATTGGATTGGATGGGATAAGATGGATTGGATAAGATAAAATGGGTTGGATTGGAAGAGTGGCTTGGGTAAGGTAAGGTGGATTCGATTGGGCCGCCGCAGGCGCAGCAACAAATGGATTTATGTATTGGGTTGGATGGATTGGATTGGGTGGGATAGGATAAGACGGGGCAATATACGTTGGATAATATAAGATGATTGGATTGGACAAGATGGATTGGACAAGATAAGTTGTATTGGGTACGAAAGCCCGCCGCAGGCGCCGACAAAAATGAACTGATGGATTGGGTTGGGTGGATTCAATTGGATGGGATAAGATGGAGTGGATAAGATGATATGAGTTAGATGTTGAAGACATAAATTAAAGAAGATAATATGTATTCGATTGGCCCGCCGCAGGCGCAGAAACAAATGAATTGATGGATTGGGTTAGGTGGATCGCATTGGGTGGGATAAGATAATATGGGACAAGATGGGTTGGATAAGATAATATGGATTTGATAGGACAAGATGGATTGGATAAGATAGTTAAGCTGGGTTTGATAAGAATGCCCGCCGCAGGCGCCGAAAAACATGAACTATGAATTTAACGACATGCCTTAGCGCCGGGACGCCTGGGACACCCGGGACACCCAGGACACCCCTCCCGGCCACCGGTGGACGGGAAACGGACTTTCGCTCCTATTGACACCGGGGACACCCGCGACACCGCCCGGCCCAACTGGGACACTTCCCAGCCACCGGCGGACGGGAACGGACTTTCGCTCCTACTTCGGCCTAGCTACAGGAGGATCACGCGCAGCTTCGCCTCGCCCGCACGCACGACACGAACACGAAACCGAAACCGATTTCCCAGTGGGGGGTCTCCGTTTCCTCGCGATCTCCCTTCCAACCTCCGACACATAAAAGCTCGGAGGTCCGCGCGGCTTTCTCGGGTCGGCGTTGGACCCCCCTTGGCGTCGCCTCTGGCGCCGCCCCTGGCGCGCTCCGCGCGCCAGGCAGGGGGTCCAGCGCGGATCCGGGAAATCCGCGCGGACCTCAGAGTTTTTATGTTTATGTCATTCTTCGTTCCTTCAGCCCAGAGATCCGATGTCTCCCACTGGGGGCCCATGCCAAGAAACACCCTGCTTGCCCCCAGGGTGCCCTGGGCTTCTTGGGCTTCGATGGTTTTGCGATGGGAAGCGTGGCGTACCCGCGCTAAAAATCAATGGACGTCCTGGGGTCTCAGGGTACTTGTGGAAGGTTTCTTGTGGCTTGGCCTCCACGTAGGAGAAGGTGGATCTCATGGTCGGGACCGCGGTAGCTTCTCAGTTCCCATGGTCCGTCAAAGCCATGTTCGCGCAAGGGCCTCGGCCCATGATTTGCGAACCCCCTTTTGGACGCCCCCCTCTTGGACGCCCCCGATCTGTGGATTGTGCTGGCGGATCGTTCGCAAGACGGTGCTCGCTGCTGGAGCCGGCTGGGGGTCTGAGGGGGCCCAGCACTGGTTCTGACCATCAGGAATGAGGGGGAGAGGTTCGAGGCTGTCGGTACGGAAAAGTTCCTTCCCGGAAAGGACGTCAGCCTTGGGCGGTACGCTGTCTCTGCTGCCTTGATTGAGGTGGGCTGGCGGATTCTTCTTTCGGGGGAGCGTAAGACCCGGGTTTGCCAGGACTCGGGTTCGCCATCGTTTTTTGACGACCGCGCCTCGGATTTTGACGAGGAGGAGTTTCGTGGGATGTCTGCAGCGGGAGGCCTCGTCAAAGTGCAGGCTCGGCCTCGTCATTTTTTTGACGACCTCGTCGGGGATTTCCGAGTCCCCTGTACCCAGGTCTTACGTCCCCCTGATTCTTTCGATGAATCACATGGTCGAGGTGGGCCAGCGGACGTGTTCTTGAGGATGTCTCAAGAGAAACGTTTGCTGTGCAAAGTATGTTGAGGATGTCACGAGCAAACTGCTCTGTTTCGTTTGTTGAGGAGGTCCCGAGCGAAACGCTTGTTATCCAGAATATGTCGAGGAAGTCTTGAGCAAAACACTTGTCTTCTCGTGCCTAGGCCGCCCAGGGGGATATCTAATATGACGTCGTCGGCGTCTGCGCACGTAGAAGTACGTGCCTTGAGGGGATGTCCGACATGCGTTTGGCGCCCGTGCCCTTGGCGCGTGCTTTCACGTCTCTAGGCCACCCAAAGGAGATGTCTAGCATGTGATCGCCGGCGCACGCAAAACATGCTCGCGCGGAGGGGTTATCTAGCATGCGTCTGGCGTATGTGCTCTTGGCACGTGTTTCCATGTGTGCAGGCCACCCTGATCGGATATGTAACGTGAGGTCGTCGGATTCTTCGCCCGCGAGCCCAAACCATGCATTTGTACAGTTTCTCCTTTCGGGTGTGAGCTCAAGCCGCCTGTTTGTTACATTGGCTTCTTTCGACCGATAGCCAAAACCATGTGATTCCACATGGATTGCTTTCGCCAGTGAACAAATGTTTGAGATTATTTTCGTCCGTGAGCACATGTTTGAGGATGTCTCGAGCGGGGGCTTCATTTGTGAGTGGATTGAGGTGGGGTCTCGAGCGGGGGCTCCGCCCTGTGGAGCTCCAGCCGGAGAAAGGGGATGATGATGAGAAGGAGGAGGAGGAGGATCTAAAACCAAGTGTTTTTGCATGGGCTCGTTTCGCCTGCGAGCTCAAACCGTACGCATTTACGCACGACCGACCCCTTCGCCCGTCAACCAAGACCACGTGTTTTGTTATGGGCCAGTTTCGCTTGTGACACAAAATCCACTTGTTTTTGCAGGGGTTCTTTCGCCCGTGAGTACCAAGCTGGGGATGTCTCGAGCGAGGGTTTTCATTCGTGAGGAAGTTGCGGTGAGTCTCGAGCGGGGGCTCCGCCCTGTGGAGCTCAAGTAGGAGGAGGAGAGGGAGGGGGGGAGGAGGAGGAGTAGGGGGGAGGAGGAGGAGGAGGAGGAGGAGGACGAGGAGAGGGGGGAGGGAGAAGGAGGAGCTGAACCCATGCGTTTTCCCAACCATCCTGTGGTGCTGTGTCTTCGTTTTGAAGAGACAGCGTTCCGCGTTCCTTCCGCCTCCTCCCCTCTTCCTTCCCCTCGCTCCTCCCATCACCCCCTCACTCTGGCACGCCCCTCACACGCTTCGTGGCCCCAAAGGGAGCTCCACCGAGGCCCTCTGTAGCGGTGCCCACATGCGTACCCGCCACCCATGTCGGCACACCCCGCACACGTAGGTCCCAGTGGCGCAGGCCGCGTGTGTCCCCGCCACCCTTTTCGACACATCCCTCACTCATTCCGTGGCCCCATAGGAGCTCCACCGAAGGTCCCAGTGGCGCAGCCCGCGTGCACCCCCGCCACCCATGCCTGCACACCCCTCACGCGCTTCGTGGCCCCATAGGAGCTGCACCGAAGGCCCCAGTGCCGCAGCCCGCGTGCGTCACCGCCACCCATTCCAGCAAACCCCTCACACGCTTCGTGGCCCCAGAGGAGCTCCGCCGAAGGTCCCAGTTGCGCAGCCCGCGTGCACCCCCGCCACCCATTCCAGCACACCTCTCACAAGCTTCGTGGCCCCATGGGAGCTCTAAGGAATACCCCAGTGGGGCCGCCCGCATGCGTCCGCGCCACCCGTTTCGGCACACTCCTCACTCGCTCCGTGCCCCATCGAGAGCCCCACCGAAGGTCCCAGTGGCCCAGCCTGATGCGCCCCCTCCACCCATGTCAGCTAACCCCTCACGTGTCGTGGCCCCATAGGAACTCCACCGAAGGCCACAGTGCCGCAGCCCGCATGGCCGCCACCCATTCCAGCACACCCCTCACACGCTTCGTGGCCCCAGGGGAGCTTCGCCGAAGGTCAGCCCGCATATGCCCCCGCCACCCATATCGGCATACCCCTCACACGTTTTGTGGCCCCAGAGGAGCCCCGCCGAAGGTCGCAGTTGCGCAGCCCGCGTGCGCCCCCGCCACCAAGTTTGACAAAGCCTTCAAACGCTTCGTGGCCCCATAGGAGCTTCACCGAAGGTCCCAGTCGCGCAGCCCGCATGCGTC